ATACTGTATTTTATTTTTATATATTCTTGAACTTGACTTATTAATTTTTAAACTTTAATAACCATGTTCATGAGGGCTGGCTATCGAGTTGTGTTCCTGTCTTGAGAGACTTATTTCTGCCTGCTTTTGGTATCAGAATAATGGTGGACTCACAGAAAGGGGTCAGTTTCTTTTCCATGTTCTGGAAGAGGCTTGTATAGGATCTTTATCCATTAAGTAATGAGTACAAGTTACAATAAAACCACCTGGGTCTGGACTTTTCTTTGTGAGAGAGCTTTGTTTTGGCTATAAACTCATTCCCCTAGTGAATACAGAGTTATCTAGCTTATCTACTTCTGTTTGAATGTGCTTCCATAGTCTGTGTCTTGCATGGAATTGGTCCAGTTCTTGTAGGTTGTCCAATTTACTGGTATAAATTTGTTCACAATATTGCCTTATTATCTTTTTAGTATTATTAAGATCTGTAGAATTTATAGTATCTTCTTTCTTATTTCTTGATCTGCCTGGGCAGAGGTTTATACATTATATAAATCTCAAAAAACAGTTTTTAGTTTTATTGATTTTCTCTACTTTGTTGATTTTTCATTTTGATTTTTATTACTTCTTTTCTTTCGGGACTTAACTTGCTTTCTCCCCCCTAGATTCTTAAGGTAGAAGCTCATGGCATTGATTAGAGAACTTTATGTAAAACTTTAGAGCTATAGTTTGCCTTCTATATATTTTTGCTATGTCACACAATTTATAGCACACTATATCACCATTTTTTGTTCATCTTAATATATTTCCAAATTTTCCTTTTAATTTCTTCTTCGACTCGTGGATTATTTAGAAGTGTGCAATGTATCTGAAGATTTTCCATTATCTTTTATTATGGATTTCTTTATTTAATTCCATTAAGTAAGTGGTTATAGCATATACTTTGTATAATTTGAATTACTTAAAATTTTATTGAAATATGCTTTATGGCTGAGAATAAGCTTTATCTTGATAATGCTCAGCGTGCATTTGAGGATACTGTGTATGCTGTTGTTGTGCAGTGATCCATAAGTGTAAATTAGGTGAAGTTGGTTGATAATGTTCCATTCCGTCTATATTATCATTATATTCTTATGATTTTATCCTGTCTGACTACAACTGTGGATATTACATTTTCTTGCACTTCTACTAATTTTTGCCCCAAATATTTTGAGGGTTTCTTCTCAGGAGTTATCATGAGTATGGCTACGTTGTCTTGGAGAACTGACCCTTCTGTTGCTATTAAATAACCTCTTAATTTTGTGATGATATTCTTTGCACTGAAATCTACTCCAGAATGCCTGATATTGATTAAATCACTCAGGCTGAATTTCTATTCATGTTATGTAGTACCTGTTTGCCCATTGCTTTATGTTCAGCATATTTTTGTCTTTATATTTGTAGTATATAGTTGGGCCTTGCTCTGTAATTCATCTGGGCTTCTCTGCCATTTAACGTACACATTTAGGCAGTCTGAATTTCATGTGATCACATCAATATGTGATTGAAATCTTGCTTTTGATTTCCATCTGTCCCATTTGTTCTTTATTAGTGTTTGTTCTATCTAACTGAATGCATTTGGATTAACCGAGTCATTTTATAATTGTACTTTAGCTCTGCTTTGCTGTACCATTCCTTAGTGGTAGCTGTAGCATTTCTAGCATAGGAATTTTACTTATCATGACCTATTTTTATTATATTATTATATTATTATATTTCCTACTTACTATAGTGAACATTAATCCTCCATTTCTTCCTCCTAGTCTTTGTGCTATTGAAGTCCTACAGTTTTAGTTACATATGCTGCAAACATATTTGTACAATTTTCACCTTAAATTGGTGGTATTACTTTTATATACACTTTTCTTCCATGTAGAAAAGCATTTAGAAATGTAAGACATAAGTAGGTCATCCGAAAGCATGCAGTTTGATTACAGCCACATGATGCAGGTCTTTCCTAAGTACTAGTGCTGCTGAGTGGTTCTTATCTCAGAAGCAGAGAAGGTGACAGGCAGAAGAAGGGAAAGGAAGAGGAGCTCTGCAAATTGCGGAGACCTTTCCACAGAGACAGAACCCGAGCAGCCCAGGCTGACAGCAAGTGAAGAATTGCGCTCTAAGACACCGCATGGACCAATCCAGGACCTCAGCCTTCCAGACCTCCTGGCAAGTGTCTCTTCCCCTAGGCCTTGGATGCTGGCTGACCCCAAGCTGTTCACAGTGGGTCAGACTGGGCCTCAGGTGCTGAAGAATTCTTTATTTGTTCTCACACAGATGTTCAAGCTTAAAAGCTATTGTCTAACTCCTTACCCCCAGGTGCGTGCTAAATACTACTTCTGAGAACACTAAACTGTCCCAGAGATGAGGTGGCAAATCTAGAAATTTACAGTTATTTTAAGGTTCTTGACTGCTCTGCCTTGTAAATTTTTCAGTACATTTAGTGAAGTGAAGCGCCGGATTCCGGGCTGATTCTTACTGTGAAGTGAAGGGCGAGTGGGGGCGCAGTACCTCATCTATGGTACCAGCAAACTGACACACGAGGAGGAAGTGGAAAGGCCCACATGACAGGAGTCCAGGCAGATGCAATGTGGTGCCCCCTCTGTGAAGGGACCCCGGGCAGCTACGGTCCCTCCAAAGTGGGCGGTTATCTTCTGAAGGTTCTCACATATCAAGAAGAAACATCTGACCTAGACCCATGCAGCTGATGTTTCTTTGCTTTCTCATGCTTTCTTTGCTTCTCATTTCTTTCTTTGCTTCTCATGCTTTTGCAGAGATTCACTTTTCTATCTGGAGTTATTTTCCTTGAAGGACTTCCTTGAACATTTCCTATCATCCCAGTATGCTGCTGAGAAGTTATTTCAGCTTGTCTCTGTCAAAAGGAATTTTTGTTCTGCTTTCCTTTTCAAAGATAACTTCACTACCTTAAGAATTCTTGGATACCCTCATCACCCTTGGGCTCACATTAGCAGGGGAGACACAGGTAAGCACTTTCTATCCAAAGTACACCAATTAATGACTATCAAATAGTTCCAGTCAAAACTACTTTGATGGTTAACAAGGTTTAAGATGAATCTATCTCTTTGACAATTGTCTGTAACATGTTACTTGTTTTGTACTATAGGACCCATGTTACACTTACAGAAATTAAAGAAAAACAAAGAAGAGGTCCTAAGTTCGATCCTCAGTACCAAAAACCAAAAAAAAAAAAAAAAAAAAAAAAAAAAAATTTAAAAAAAAAA